TAATACTTTTGGTGTGCATTGTCGAGACTACATAAGAAGCCCTAAGTTACAACTTTGAGTTAATTTTGAGTACTGAGACAACTGCATAACTCATTGCTTAGGAGGCCGTGCACTATCTATGAATGAGTCTAGTTTTCTTTAAACTTAAATCATGCCAAAAGTAACTCAAAATGTTAAACATAAAAAACCATCCTCACTGTCTAATTGTTTTAATATACCTTCTATAAATATTCGTGGTCATCGAAGTAACCTTTCATCAGTTGAATCTTACCTCTTGAAAAATTTACCAGACTAGCTTGGTCTTTGTCAGAATAATTTAAACTCAGTTGCTCCTTCAGACCTTAGTATTGATAGGTACTATAAGTTGATTTAAAAAGACTCCAATAGTCACATGCTTGGATTGGAGGTGTACTATCCCAACAACTCATCTATTTGTCGAGAAATTAGATTTGAATTCTTTGATCATTCTTTCATGCGCTTTTGCTTATCACCTCTTCACTCTATCATCTTTCTCTTTGTTCTTTATTGTTCTTCTTTTTCTCAAGACTGCACTTTTTAAGGTATAATTTCTGATTAAACTGATCATGTCCTTTCTCTTTACCCCTCTGTCAATTTTGATGTTGGCTTACTCATCACACTAACACCATTGACCCTGCTGACACTAAAACCCTTATTTTCTGCGTTTCTTTTGCCATTAACAAAGGTAGGTCTAACATTCCATCTCTCATTCAGAGGAGTGATCATATTTCCTCTTCCAAAGATAAGAATAAACTATTTGCAAATAACTTTTCTTCAAATTCGAATCTTATGACCATACTCTTTTTTCCATTCCAAAAAGCATTTTAACCAATTGTTGAACGTTCAAATCACTTCAACTTCTGTTGCTTGAATCATATCTCAATTAAACTCCTCTACGGCTTGTGGTTCAGACAACATTCCTGTCATAGTCTTACAAAAGGGTTCTTCAGAACTCTCTTAAATCCTCTCTAAACAACAATTATTTAATAAGTGATTGAATCAATCTTTTTTTCCGGCTTGCTGGAAAAAATAATCTTTGGTTCCAATTTTTAAAAACTTTAGTGAGCATTCTGTCTCCTTCAACTATCTTCCGATCAGTCTTTTATCTAATATTAAAAAAGTCTTTGAGTTCAGCAAATCTTCAACCTTCCATTTTGAGACGAATAGTTTGCTGTCAGACAACGGTATACGGTTGTCGATCTTCTCGCTCTACGATGGTTCTCTCCATGGCTAACTTTTAAACTGTTGTGACTGAAAGACTTTATCGTACATTAGATGGAGACGGCGAGGTCGCAACGTAAACCACATACAATCGATTGCTTCTCTTTACTGCTCTTGCCATCATGTTACTCCAGATTCAATTCTAAACCTCTACAAATCTCTTATTCACCCCTGTATTAAATACTGATGTCATACTTGGGCTGATCTTTCAAATGATGCCTTCTTTTTCTTTTAGACAAGGTCCAAAAACATAAATTGTAAATGTAGTTGAAATTGCTCTATTCGCCAAACTTGAGCCTCTCTGTCTCTGTTTGCTTCTTTTTCTTTATTCTACAAACACTAAAATGCATTGCTCAAAGAAGCTCTCGTCTCGAGGTCCATTAACCAAAACTCATTCTTGCTTGAATCACCATTCAGCAAAGTCTCATTAGTTTACATCTGTTCCTGCATTCTCTAAAACATTTTATTTGTCTAGTTTTTTTTCCCCTCACTTGATTTCTTTGGATCTAATCTTCATGTTTTCCTAACTGATACAACCTATAACTTTTTAAGTCTACTGTCAATTGTTTCCTTGTTCTTTAACTGTGTTCTTTGTTTTCTAGTAACTCCTAACTTTATAGTAGTTGTTGGGAGTGAACTAGGATGAAAATAAAAATAAAAGATTGCAACGCTTTTTTCTTTGTAATACTTTATCTTAATGGGAACAAGTTACCAATGGTGCTCCACAAAGTTCAGTGTCCTAAGCTGTTCATAATCTTTTTTCAACAATTTATCCGGCCTCGTCAATAGTGAAAATTTCTCTAAAACGTTCGCAGACGACACTAAACTTTGGACCATCTTCAAAGCTGCTGAAGACAAAGCTAGTCTGCAAGCTGATATTAACGTCTAGAAATGCAAGTTTATTACATCAATAAATACAACGTTTCGCCACATGTATACTCAATAAACAAGCTTAATGTTAACAGCAAAGTCCCTTGGACAGAAATTGAGTCAACGAAATCTGAAAAAAACCTAGGCGTTCAAATTAATAATTTAAATTACGCGAATCAAGCAAAAATTGCTGCTGCCAGGCCAATAACGTCCTCGGAATCTTAAAACACATCTTCATCAGCAGAGACACCAAAATATGGAAAAAGTTTTACACCATTTTTGATTTTTCAATTCTCTACTGGTGCTCGTGCTTTTAAAAAGACATGCTATTGAACGCATACCAAACGCACGGGCTACCGAAGTACCGCACGAAATGAAGGGCTTTAACTACGAAACGAGATATACATATTCGGCCTCACTTCTCTACTCAGTGGTTTACGCGACAACCTCGTCCAAAAATACACAATTGAGAACAACATAAACTTAGTTGGTTGACATATATCTTCACTTAACATCCCATTAAACAACGGCCATCGCAAGCGTTTTCATCGTGAAACGGACAACAATTGTTTTGTTTTTTTCAACTTCTTAAACAATTGTGTCACTGACCTATGAAACGAAGTTGTCAGCGCTCACTCCAAACGAAGTTGTAAGTGCTATCAGTGTCAACTACTTCAAAGCAAAATTCGATCAGCTATCACTATAACTACCATATAGCGCATCATCCGTGCAACCACGCAGCTCGGCTAGCTGGTCATCACCGTGTTCCGTTTGATGTTCGGCGTGTTCCGTAAGCCTATTGGCTAACGGAATACGCTATTTCCGTATAATTTAATTAACTAACATTTGGTATATTTTTTCATTGCTCCGTGCAATTTGATCCGGTTTATTACAAATAAAAATGAACCAGCCCAGAAAACCAGGTTTTTATTTTTATTATTTTCTTTAATAAGTTTGAAAATAAAACAAAACGAAACCGTAGAGTCATTGCGAGAGCAATAGTCGTTTTGCAAGAAACTAACGATGAATATTTTGCTAGAATTCTAGTTTTATTAAATAAAAATATAGTAACTAAGGTAAAAATACTTGTAAAAAAAGTTTTTTTATCTGAAAGCAATGATCATTTCTTCTAAGTACTTAAGTATGCTTTTTTTTTTTACTTTTCACAATTACGGTCAATTATTTTCTCTTGCATTTGAGGGCGGTTCCATCAAATTTATAAATATAAAACTTTATAAAAATAAATTATCTAGAAGTTTATTTTTTATATTATCACTAAAATACTTAATGTTGTAAACGAAATCCCACAAACAAAAGCTTTGCAGGTATCTAGTTTTATTTAAAAAATCGGTCAGCTAGTACCAGATTTTATTTGGAAAATCAGTAGCTTTCTTTTGAACTTTTTAAATTAAATTTATGTCTAATAACTGAAAATTTGTACTTTAAATATGTTATATGTTGGATTAAAGAAGTGAAATTAATAATCATTTTGTTGATAGTTTATCATGATAACCAAACTTTGGTTACCATAAATTATGGTAACCAAAGTTTGGTTACCATAATTTACAAATTTTATTATGGCATAATAAAATATCAACAAAAAGTTTCAACACTGTTGATTTTCTGCTTGTCTTTTTCACCATTTTTTTAACATAATGTTTTAAGTTGTTTGAAATAAATATGCCCTTGCATCTCTTTCCAAATTTGTTTTCATTAGTTAGTGATGAAAATCTATCTCAGGGGCAGATCCAGCATTTTTTTATGTTTGAGATCAAAAAAGGCCCTTGACATGCAGGCAACAAGTTGATAAAATACTTTATGTTCTATTTTTTAATAAATTTTTATTCATTGATAAATTTTATATTTCATACAATAATCTCTTAACATTCAAAAATTATGACAATAAAAAGTGTGAACCTCCTTAATTAAAGAGGGTTACAAGTTTTATAAGGTTATAACTTTTGAATGCTAAAAAATTATTGTATAAAATTTAAAACTTATCAATGAATATAAATTTATTAAATAATAGTGCATAAAATATTTTATCAACTTGTAGCTCTCACGTTTGAGGCAGTTGTGGGCAAAATTTTAGGTCTTTTTTTTTTTCCAAGCTCCAATCATCACAATTTTTTGTGAAGCATCCTTTTTGACATGACTATAAAGGCATAGATGTTTGGAGTTTGTTCCATGTCTGAAAGTTACATCTCAAACATCAAAAAATTTAGGATCTGCCTTGTATATATATATATATATATATATATATATATATATATATATATATATATATATATATATATATATATATATATATATATATATATATATATATATATAATAGAGCATATTTATGTAACAAATTGTTACCATATTTTTGTTACATTAATTTAATTAAATTTCAGAAAAAATCTGAAACAAATAGTTTTTGCTATTTCTTTATTGCATTAACAACATTTTAATGAATTACAAAATTTACTGGTAATAAATGCTTTAATTTCATATTTTATGTGGAAGTAGTAATTATAAACAATATTTGCCATCTGCATTCAAAAGTTAAAATTGATTTAAAATGGCTAAATAATTACTTGTGTACCAATCCTCAACCTGTACTAATGCTCCCCCTCTCTCTTATTATTTTTATATTACTCAGATAATTTAATTATTTAAACAAAAAAAAATCAGAATTGTGAGTAATTAGAAAACAGCCAATAATAAAAAAATTTATTATTTTCGAGATGATTGTTACACATAGCAAATAAATAAATAGTTTTGTATTTCTTTGTTGTTGTTGTTTTTTTGTTTTTTTATTTAATTATTTTTGGTTTTTAAAACTTATGTTTTAATGCATGGTTATTTTAATATATGATTCATATTGAAAAATCAAGGTTTATTTATTTTTCAGGTACTTATTTTAAATATAAAATTTTAAAAGATGACTTTAAAAAAAGCTGGATTGAAACAGTTGGATGTTAAAGATAAAAGAGTTTTGATGAGGTGTGTTTTTTAATTATTAAAAAAGTACATGGCAAATCGAGTATATAAATAATTTACAAAGAATCTGAAAAATTGTAGTTTATCATATTAGCTAGTATATTGAATAAAAGTTACTTAATTAATTTGAAATATGTTCTGACAGAAGAAATAATTTGGTACAAAAATTATATTTCAAAGTGTAATTAAAATGTGAAATTTGTTGAAAATTATTTTTTAATTTGCCAAGTTTTGTTATTATAATTTAAATACTATTTGGTTTAATCAAAAAGGTTTTTGCTCTTGAATGATAAAAAGGTTTTGATAAAATCTGGCGTGTTGGACTTCTCCATAAGTTCTTGTCATATATCTGGAAAAATTTTAAAATCATTAAATTGTTTCTTTCTAACCACAGTACTAAAGTTGCATTTGAAGGACAACACTCATCTTTATTTCCATTAACTTCTGTGGACCACAAGTTTTTCTAATAATCTTACATCTGAAGTGGTTCTATTTGTTATTGACACAAACTATATACTCCAATCTTGACAAAATATCTATTTGATTGTTTAGAATAGGCTAATGATCTTGAATCTGATCTTTTCTGTGACAGCTTGCATTGGCTTGTGAATTTAATGAAAAAAAAATCAGTTGTTTCCTGCTAATAATTTTTGTAATAATGTTGACATTCCTACATCATTAAATGGCACCACTCTTACTGAGTCTTTTATTTTATGTTATTTTATATTATCATTCACTATTGACCTCTCATCAAAGTTATATATATACAATCCATTGCTATGTTAGCATCTGCCGAGGATACTCCTGATCTCATTTGAGGTTGAAAGGTATTGTCATATTTGAGCCGGTTTTTCTAATGAGGTTCTCGGTATTTAAAAAGGTTTAAAAGTTCTACATAAATTTTCTTAAGCTACAAAGTTTGAGCCTCTGTCCGATTGTCTTGAGGTTGTCTTTAGGTTGTACCTCAAATCTATAAATACTACTATGGTTGTTGCTCAAACAAGCTGTTATTACTTGTTCCATTTACCCAAAACTTAATTTTTTTTAAAGTTAGCATAAGTTTTGTTGTCAACCACTTACATGCTCTTTTACTTCTTTTTTCTCAGTTGTTTCCAACTTAATTAGTGATTGCTTGTTTGTTGGTAGTGAATTTGTTTTGAAAATATATAACTCAAGAAATGTGTTAATAATAATGAATTGCATTACAACATTTATCTGCTATTGGGAATTATTGTTTAACTATTAAATTACTATTTGATTTCCAATTTATTAAATTAAAGTAATCTTTTAAACAATTTGTTACACTACAATTTTTTTACTGTTTAATAAGTTTATTTGCAGTCTAAATCAGTAACTTTTATCTCTTTTCTGATATTTGTTTAAAATATAATTTTTTTGCATTATCAAATGGAAATGTATTTATTGCGCATATCGTGCAACACATGTTAGATATCATAAATTTGAATCAATTTTAAACTTTCAACTCATTTTTTAAATTAAAAAATTCATTCTTTGATTTTAAAATATTTTTCTTCACAAATGTTCAGTGATAGCCAAAACATGTGTTTAAAATATTTATCTTCACATATGTTCAGTGATAGCCAAAACTGTTTAAAAACAAATGTTTCTAAAAAGATTGCAACAACTAGTTATTTTATTTTTAACAATTTTTTTTTTGTCTTTGCAATTTAGAGTGGATTTCAATGTGCCAATTAAAAATGGTGTTATAACAAGTAATTTACGGTAAGATTTAAACTTACTTATTGTAATAATTATTATTGATATAAGTATAAATATTAAATCAATAAGTAAATCAATTAAATATAAAGATTTGATATATATAGTATACATATTTAATATATTATATATATATATATATATATATATATATATATATATATATATATATATATATATATATATATATATATATAATATATATGTATAATATATATGTATATTATATATATGTGTGTGTATGTGTGTATATATATATATATATTATATATATATATATATATATATATATATATATATATATATATATATATAAATTCATCAAAAAGAATCATCAGAAATAAATGATCATATTGATAAAACTTCAATTTATACCAAAAATTAAATTAAAGGAAGTCAAAATTATTTATTTAAATAATAATTTATTTAAATCCTATTTTGACTAGGGCCCTGCAAGCTTTAAAATTTTGAATAGAATCGAACAAAAAAATGATTCAAGATATGATTCGAAAATTTTCAGAAATCGAATCTTTATTTATTTTGTTTTTGTTGTGAGAATTTTAGATATTCTCCGATTTGGCGCTAATGAAATAATGTTACTTATCCTTAAATACCTTTTTAATCAGTCATTAAAAAGGTTAACCAGGGCAAGAAGCATCAATAAAGAGATAATGCTATTTTTTTATTTTATTTTATTTTGAAAATTGTATTATTATATAAAAAATGCTTAAATTTAGACTTCAAAATGTTGATTTGAAACGTGATTTGAATAGCGAATCAAGACCTGCTTTGATTTTAGATTCGAATTGAAACAAAAACTGCCAATTCGCAGGGCCCTAATTTTAACAGTATGGGGTCATTTTGTGTCAAATCAACTGAAAAAAAAATTTCAGCACCATATCATCTCAGATTTTGCTAATTTTTGGAGCACAAGCTTAAATTAATGAAAAAAGCTTCACTCTAAATTTTAGTATCAGACTCCTTACGGTTTCAGAGATATTGATATTCGATCACATTTTTTTTTTTTGCCTTTTTTTCAGCGCCATTTATTTTTAAAGCTCATTGCACAACAGAATTAGCTTTAACTTATGAAATACTTGTTCAATAGTGATGGAAATTTCTACCTAACTACTTTTTAGGGTGAAGAACTCAAAAATCATGGCTAAAACATTAAAAAACTTAAACTTCTATATTAATACTCAATTTCAAAATGGTGTAACACTTTTTGTTACACCATTTTGAAGATTTTTGAGATGCCTAAATGATATGATTCTGAAATTTTTTCCTAATGTTCTATATGTAACATGGATGCATGAATCTAACTTAAAAGTCTTTATTTTCAACATCAATTTCCTCAACTAGTCCAATCTATGGATTGTATATATATCAAACATACAAACACACCAATAAGTCAGCACAAAAGTTGAAACTAAAGTTATTTCTGAACAATTGGAGTATTCATTTGTTTCAATTTTCAAACTGATAAGATTATTAAAGAATTTTTGTCTAATATAAGCATAATAGACAAGAATTCTTTAATAATCTTATCAGTTTGAAAATTATTTAGAAACAACTTTAGTTGTTTCTAAATAGTTTTCTTATCAGTTTTAAAATTGTTTAGAAACATCTTTAGTTTCAATTTTTGTGTTACTTATTGGAACAAAATTGTGATAGCTGTGAGTGCTTGGTAACATTTTTGCAATTGTATATCTTTTCTCCATTTCACTTCGAATTATTGTGTTTATCTCCTTGGATATGAAATAAAAATTAATTCCTATGATTTCATTTTGGCAAAAATTAAACATTGCAGATGCTGTAAGAATATGATTTGTTGTTGTTCGATGAAGGCTAGCAATTGAAGTTAGTCTTTTTACAGTTCCACCAATACCATTACAGGGTGATTTACCGTGACTTGTTGCAAAGAAAGACCATGTTCATAGCAAAATCTTGTTCATGGTGGCATATATTTACAAAGTGTTTGCAGTTCTTGTATTGGCCAGCACACTCATTTGAAAAGTAATGGACACTTTCTATCTGATGAAAAATATTGCTTTTAATATGTTCAATTGTTAGCTTTATCACATGATAAACCATATCTACATCATTTAGTAAATCATCTGAGATAAAACATTGAATCACATTTGAGGACATTATTTACTTTATAATAAATTACTGTTGGATGCAATGTTGCTTGAATTTTGTTCCAGTGAAAACTTTGTATTTCGTCTTGTACAACAAACTCATAATTTTCTGAGAAATCACAAAGGATAATGACATCAGTACTACTTAATTCATTTTTTAACTTTCTTAAAGAAGCAGTTTAGCTTTTTGCAATGTAAGAATGAACAGTAAGTTTTTGTAACTTTTTTTTCAAAGTATTAATAATGCTACTTGTCATTTCTGTGAGACAGTTCGGTCTGTTGTTTTCCATTGTTTGTAATCTATACAATAATCATCATCTTCATCAATATCATTTTAAGAGTACAGCTCATTTTCAAGATAATGTACTAATGTAGAATATTCTGGGCACAAAGAGAAACGATGTATCATGCAAGTCTTGTTTGCCCTACTACAAATAAGCATCTCAATAAGCTTGTAATAATCCTTTGATAATTCAACTGCACTAATCATTAACTTAATATTTTGATGGTAGGTACACACACATACTGTATGCGTACCAGATGCTCCTACTGTAATGCACCATTTTGGACGATGTGAGCAAAAGTTAAAAAAACAGCTTTTTATATCTGGATAACAGGTTTTAAACTTTGTATATAGCTCTTTTAGATTTGAAAGAATCGAACGCTTTTGCATGTGAGATCTTCGAGCTATACTAACAAAATCTTTTTTACCAGATTAAAAATTGGAATCAATGTTAGTAGTTGAATTTTCTGATTACATTTGGAAATTAACATTTTTTCTTTGATTTTTCTATATCTTTGTCATTTGCTTTACCTTTAACTTCCTTAAATAATTTATTGAAGGAATCTTCTTGGCTTAATTGTTCATCATCTATATTTAAAGTCCTTGCAATACCTAACTTTTTTGTTTTTTGAAAATGTAGCAATTTTTTTGTGACTATTTACAACTCTTTAGTGACTATTTACAGCATGCATTTTGAGAGGACTTATGTTCATAGTTGTCAAAGAAGAATTAAGATTTTTTTCAACAATTTGTTTATATTATTCTTCATCCCCATAAATCTGGCTACAAGTTCTCATTGTCAATCATCCTTAAATGACATCAATTTAATCATACATGAGGGACATATCTTTTCTCCAGGAATAAAAATACCAATATTTTTTTTATTTCCCAACAAATTGTTTATTAATTTTTTTATATCCTCCTAAAAACATGAGTGATAATTACTGCTTCAGTGAGTATTTTGCAAAAATGTATGTAATTTATATACAATTACAATAAAGTTTTTAAAAAGTTGAATGGTTAAGTAATAATTCCTTTTCTTTTTTTTCCATTGTGTGAATTAAATGGATCACAACAAGTTATGTGGTTTGTGGAGTAACGTTTTAAATAGACATATTCATGGTGTAGGCAAACCTTTGAATTTTCATCAAATCGAAAGCCAGAACAACTAATTATCAAGTCTTTTTCCACATCATTAAGACTTAAAATTTTCATGATATCATGGGGTTGTTTGTTTGTTACAAATCTCTTTATTTATTATTCCAATTGAACATTTTTCTTTATCATTCATATTGTTATATTATTTTTTAGTTCTGTGAGAAACAATTTTAAAATAATTATTGTTTGAAGATTTGAAAATAGAAAATCCTTTAGCTATTAAACAATGATTGTATAAAATAAAGATCTTTTATGTGAAATGCAAACACCTTTATATATTAGAACTGTACCTTAGACAGCAAGATTCTAAAAATCTTTTTAAAAAACGCAAAAAAATTAATGCAAATAATTTTTTTTCATTATTAAATAACAATTTTTTCTTAATTTTTTTAATAAAAATTTATAAACTTATTTAAATCTAAAACTTTAAATAAGTTCAGTATTTAAATTTACGTGCCATATATACTGCAATGTATATGTTTCTATGTATACATTTTAATGTTGCTATGTAATGTTTGTAATGAATGTTATGAATTTATTTGAAATTCTTAAAAGAATTCTGTAAAGTATTCACCTTTATGCATTTAGAATTGTTGCAGCATTGCCAAGCATTAACTATTGTATTGACCAAGGTGCCAAGTGCATTGTATTGATGAGTCACCTTGGGCGCCCTGAAGGTCAAGTTGATAAAGCGCTTTCATTGGCACCCATTGCAGAAGAGTTAAAAAAGTTGCTTTCAAGGTGAAAATTTTTTTTTGACATTTAATTTGATTTTTAAAATTTTGCATTTTGAAATTAAACTTAATCAATGCTGATAAAGCAGGGTGTAAACTAGGTCCCCGTCAAATGCGGTATTCCCAAATGCACATAAAATTAAAAATTCTAATTTAAAGGTGATTTTCTTTGTTTGGAAAATCCCATTTTCCAAACAAAGTTCACCAAATTAAGGTATAATAATAATTTTAAAAATTATTGATAATTATTACTAAAAACTAATAGAAAAATAACAAAAAATAACTGCAAAAATGTCACTTGAAATAAACTTCTTAAGAATTGAGATTTTTGAAGCTATTTGAGGGATTTTGTCGACTACTTGCTTCTAAAATTTGTTTCGCAAAATTAGCAAATAATTCTTCGCAACGTTCCAACAACTGCAAATATTATATAAAAAAGTTAGCAAGAAATAAAGTACAATCTAAAAAAATAACAACTTTGTTTTGTTTAACATCTGCAAGTGTTATTTCTTTACTAGTTTTGTCCTTTTCAGCACAAAAGATAATTAACTTATTAAGTCTTTTTAAATAGAGTTAATAAATAATTTATTAACTCTGTTTTCAAGTAATACAAGTAAAAATGATTTATAATTATAACAAACTGGTGCTAGAAATTTACTTAACAAGGAAAATAGATTTCTTTGCTTTACTGCTTGCTTTTATTTAAAATGTAAATAAAATACGCATGTTAAAATGTAAATTAAACTCGTTTAAAACACTAAAAAATGAGTCTATTCGCTCGTTTTTCACATGCAAATAGACTTCAATTATAATCTATTGGCACGTTTATTTAAAGATCAATGAATTTAAAGGGAATTTGAAAAAATTAGATTTATCATTATTGGCTTTTAACTTAAAAACTAAACTAGTGCAGTGGAGTACTAACGCAGTACTTACATTGACAGACTTTTGAAGGATATGCCCATCGTAGTGTATATACATATTGACTGCTTATCTAGGAATAGGCGCAGTGTAGTATAAATACAATGACGAGGGTTTTGGCTTAAAGCAGGCAATCTTTTAATTAAAAAAAAGAAGTATTTTTTAAGAAAACTAGATTTACTGCTTGCTTGAGTTTAAAGTATAAAAGAAAAATTGAATGTTTGAATGAACTTTAGTCATAATAACATTTTATGACAAAAAATGAGAAAATAATTATTGGTATTCTTCGTTGCACAACAACGTGGAATTGTTTGCGATCAATATTTTTTAGTAATTAAACGACATTTATTATTATTTTTGCTAAGACTTAGTAATTGTAACTTTATTTTGCTATGTGATTTATGTATAGAGAAAATTAATATTAATTATAAAGTTGAAATGGCAATAAATGTGAAATATGAAAATCATGAGCTCATGTTTACTATTTTCAAAATTTTGTATTTTCCTATTTTTAAAACATTTCTTTTGATATCACAATTTATTACATGATGGTTTAAGGGTTTGTTCTCAAAGGGCGTTGAGCAGAATTTAAACAACAATTAAAAGTAGAAAATTATTGTCTATCTTCCGCTGAGATTTTTATTAAACATTAATCGCTATATTCAGGGCCGTTCTGAAAGGGGTGTAGGGGTGTCCCCCCCCCAAAAAAAAAAAAAAAAAAAAAAAGTTGTTATATAAGCACTTTAGTTGGCACATTGAGCAAGTTTTGAACTATAGTTTGAAAATTGCAAATAGTGAGGATCTTTTTTTTTCTTCTTAGTGTCTCTAGTTGGCAAAAAAATACATACACCCCCCATTGAAGACCTCTTCGAGACGGCCCTGGCTATATTACTTAATAAATCCAATATTAATGCCAACCAGTAAAAAAGAAGTTTATATTCAAAGAATAATCTTAATAAGTCAAATAAATCAAATTTATGATTCCTAATAATAACTAATTAATAAACACTGATTATTTTATAATATAAAAATAAATATTTCCTATTATATATTTGGGAATCGAAGCTTAAATTGCTGTGTCGTTGTGAAACCTCTTAATTTTATGTTGATTTCATCTTCAATAAATGTTACAGACGGTAATTTATTTTATTTATGCTGTCCAATCAATGTATGCAGCGCTGAAGTGAAGTGGAAGAAAAAAGAATATAAGAAAAGGACCCCACACATTCCCGGAACACATTTAAATCTCAGGGAAGGGGGAGGATGATTGGAAATATTTTGACAAACTCCCAATTTCGTCAATACGCTGTATCAATTTTTTTCCTGGTTAACACCCTGTAAAAATAAGTTTGGCATTATTTTCAATTAACCATTAATGGATAATTTTTTTATTTATGCTTTTTTTCTTATTTGTAAATTTTTTTTTATTAGGGATGTTTTATTTCTTTCTGATTGTGTTGGCGAGGAAGTAGAAAATGCATGCCAATCTGCAAATGAAGGTTTTCATATAATCATGTAAACCATAATTTGGTCAATACATTTATTACTATCTTGATATTAAAAATATTTTCTTGTAATTCATAGGTAAAATTATATTATTGGAAAATCTTCGTTTTCATGTGGAGGAAGAAGGAAGAGGGGTTGACAAAGATGGGAAAAAGGTACTTTAGAAATTAAAATAATTATGTAAAAAATATTGGTAAAACAATTATTTTTTTGAATTTTGTTAAAAATTAACTGTCTCACTAAGTTCTCTTTTTTAAGTTTACTTGGGCTATTGTTCACTACTGACCTCTTATGGAAACCATACATACAATGGATTTCTAAGTTAGTTTTTGCTAAGGTTGCTTTCCTTTGTTGTGTTTGCCATTTTCTTACTCCTGATTCTGTTCTCTATCTTTACAAATTTCTAATTTTTTTCTTTATGTTAAACTGTTGTCATATTTGAGCTGGTTTTTCTAATGATGCTATAATTATACTATTGCATTGCACAAGCATGTTTTTCATTTTTTTAAGCTTTTTTGTTATTATTATTATTGTTTTAAATTTTTGTTTTAAAATGAAACCATTTCTCCATCTAAAAGTATTAGAAGTAGCCATAAAAATATTCTTTTATTAACAATAAACTACTAAAAATATTTTGTTTTTAAGATAAAAGCTAATCCTGACAATGTTAAGAAATTCCAAGATTCTCTGTCAAAACTAGGAGATGTTTATGTTAGTGATGCATTTGGAACCGTTCATAGACCAGATAGGTAATTTTTTTTTTAATTTTTTATGTATGTTGTATAAACAACATATGCAAAAAAACAATGATAAAAACTTTGTATTTATGAATACGGCATTTAAACAATGTTTTATATTTTGTTTTTTTATTTTTATTCTTTCTCTTCTGTTCTTATTTGTTAGTATTATTGTTTTTTATAATTCTTTTTTGTTTTTGATACTGTTTATGCATGTAAAATGTTTTTGAGATAAAACTGGCTTCTCGTTGTCTCCTAACAAACTATACTTATATGAAGTTTATACAACAAATAAAGAAGATCATTTCTATGCAATCTAAAGCAAAAAAAAAACTAGATCTGTAAAAGCATAGGCCTGAAACCTCAACTAATGTTCAGTAAAATAAGGATAAAATAAAAATTTTAAAATTATAAAAATCAATAGGAATTAGTTCTTTATAAAATTAAAGGGCACTTAAGTTTTCTTCTTTTTTATGCTTAATAATTAAACATGAAGGAGAATAAGAAATCGCTGCTAAAATAATAGTTATGCAGGCACCTAAACATGGTTTGAAAAATCCATAAGTTAATGCCTTCAACATGGCGTGATAGTATGTAAGTAAGAGGTACTTAGTTAAACCAAGTTCATGTTTGTACTATGCTCAACTTGTTTTTTCATGCATGTATTTTTTTTGTCTAGGTTCATTTTTAGCATGCATAGGTTTATGATATAGTTGCTAAATAAATATAAGAAAAAAAAATTTTAATATTTATTTTATTTAATTTTTTATTTAAAGTTATTTTCTTAAGAAAATAAGGACAAAATTTTACCTTCCATGTGCTGGTTTAACAGATTTGGCAAAAATATTTATGTAAGGGAAAGTTAAAACAAATTCTTTTAATCTGATGCGCAACATCAGCACCTTTATGAGTGGCCCCATTAAATAATAAAAGCAACATATCTTTGATAATCTTCTTTGTTAAACTTTTTTTTTATGCAATTCACTATTGGTCAAGTGCTTCATAAGAAATCATTATGGATCAAGTTCTTGCGATAAGGATTTTTCAATGGCAAGTTCATAATGATGGAAATCTTTTAACTTCTTCTGTGCTCCATGTTTACTTGCAAGTTTTGTTTAATCTATGTCCAATAACTTAGTTTCAGAATCAACATTTTACTAAAATATATTGAAATTTTCTTTGCTTAATAATGATTTCTGACACATTTACATTCAAATTTTTGTTGTTATTGTTGTTGTTGGCACAATCCTAGACTGCAGATAAAATAAAACTTTAAAGTATTCTACTCTGATTTTTGCTATAAGATAAAAATAAGTTCTCCAAAATAAACACCAAAAACACAGTCAAGTGTCCTTATGCATATATCAGCACTAAGGATACAAACTTTTATCTCATCTTTTCATCTATTTTGTTTCCTCAACAAATTAATGCGCATCAAGTTTTTTTAAACCCGATGCTTCTTTTTTTTCACTTAGTTCAATGGCTGGTTTACACTTTGAGAAAAAAGTTGCTGGATTTTTGATGGAAAAAGAGTTGGTTTATTTTTCAAAAGTGTTAGAGGAGCCTGAACGTCCATTCCTAGCAATACTTGGCGGGTAAATTATTGAAACTTTTTATTAAGCAGGTTTTCCCAGTAATATAATATGATTTCAGAATTTTTATATTTGTTGTTACAATTAAAAACTTTTAGAATTAAATTATAAGAGATATTTTATAAAAATTTTCAGAATACATTGTAAAAATATTGTTTTTGGGTTTTATACATTAATATTTAGTGCTAAAGTTGCAGACAAAATTAAATTAATTTATAATTTAATGGATCAAGTTAATGCCTTGATTATTGGCGGAGGAATGGCCTTCACTTTTCTTAAAGTATTGCATAATATGGAGGTAATGTTAAGCATTTAATAACATTATTTTAGTATGTTGTTTAAATCATGATATAGACTGAATATAACTGTAGGAGATTAAATTAATGTAACCTAGTTGTGATTTTTTTCCCTCTTAGATAGGGTTCATTTGAATTCAAATAAATTATTGAACTATAACTTTTTATTGCTGTTCAAAAATTTTTTCTTAGATATTATTTGGATGTTTTAAATCTGAAAATTGAATGTAAAAAGTGGTGGAAACAAATAATTTAGGTTTATTGTGCTAAAAAATTTGAAAAATCTATTAGCTGTTTTTCCAATAAATGTTGAATTGTTTGATTAACAATTAACATGTTTAAACGTTAGCATGCTTAACAATTAAAATCTTTACAAATTAAAAATGCTAAGAATTTTTTTTTTATCTATTATATTAAGAAGATAATTGATATATTATTTAAACATGGTGAAATTCAACACCCTTTTAATTGTTAGTTATTTCAACACCCATTTAATTATAAGTTAATTCAACACCCTCTTAATAGTTAAAACTATCTAACAAAAAAATTTTTTTTTTTTTTTTGGCACAATGAAGATTTAAAAAAACAACTTGTTATGTTCAACTTTAAGAAAGATATTTTTGGCACAATGAAGATTTAAAAAAACAACTTGTTATGTTCAACTTTAAGAAAGATATTTTTGGCGCAATGAAGATTTAAAAAAACAACTTGTTATGTTCAACTTTAAGAAAGATATTTTTGGCACAATGAAGATTTAAAAAAACAACTTGTTATGTTCAACTTTAAGAAAGATATTTTTGGCACAATGAAGATTTAAAAAAACAACTTGTTATGTTCAACTTTAAGAAAGATATTTTTGGCGCAATGAAGATTTAAAAAAACAACTTGTTATGTTCAACTTTAAGAAAGATATTTTTGGCACAATGAAGATTTAAAAAAACAACTTGTTATGTTCAACTTTAAGAAAGATATTTTTGGCGCAATGAAGATTTAAAAAAACAACTTGTTATGTTCAACTTTAAAAAAGATATTTTTGGCACAATGAAGATTTAAAAAAACAACTTGTTATGTTCAACTTTAAGATTTTTTTGAGATCTTTAAAAAAGATTAAATTAAAAAACAAATTTCTTCAATAATAAATAAAGGAAAGTTTTCACTTTCTTTTATTAGTTGTAATTATAGAGAAATCAAAAAGTCGATGCTTGCTAATGTATTTATTTTGCATTTTTATTAATAGATAGGATCTTCTTTATATGATGATGAAGGTGCTAAAATTATCAATGAGTTAATGGAAGCTGCAAAAAAGAAAGGGGTATCCATACATTTACCTGTTGACTTTATTTGTGGATCTAAGTTTTCTAATGATGCAGAGGTTTGTACAGCAACAATTGAAGAAGGTATTCCTGCTGGATATATGGTAATTTTTATTTATATTATTATGGCATTTTTAGTTTATTCTGTATGTTGTATATCTTTCTTTATTTTGTTACAATATTTAAAGTATTTTAGTACTAAACAAATCATTAATTTTAAAAAAGTTTTATTTTAGGGGTTAGATATTGGTTCAAAATCTATTGAAATTTTTACTGATGTAATTGAGAAGGCAAAATTGATTTTTTGGAATGGGTATTTTATAATTATATATGAGCTTTATAATTATATATGAGCTTTTGTTTCAATATATTAAATAATTATAAAAGTAAAAAATATAAAATAATTCAAAATATATAATATAAATTAAATAATTTAAAAAAACTTTAAACATTTTTAAATTTCCGTCATTCTAATTTTTTATTATTGAATTTAATGTTTTAATTTATATATTATTATTAAATACTAGGTTTATTAAAATTTTAGTTTATTTTTTACATTTCAGACCTGTTGGTGTCTTTGAAATGCCTAAATTTGCAGAAGGAACAAAGAAAATAATGGACAAAGTATGCGAATCTACTGCTAGAGGTGTGACCACTGTTGTAGGTACGAGACCATTTTACCTTTTTTTTTTCTTTTTTTTTTAACGGTTTTTATTATAATAATGATAATATTTAATCTTTTTTTTTAGGAGGTGGGGATACTGCTACAGCAGCTGAAAAGTTTGGCCGATCTTCTGAATTTAGTCACGTTAGTACTGGCGGCGGAGCGAGTATTGAACTATTAGAAGGTAAAATAGTTAACATTTTAAATTTTTTTGCATTTCTATTTGTTTTAATATTTTTATTACAGATAAAAATTTGCTTTTACTTTTTAGGCAAAGAATTACCTGGTGTTGCTTTTCTATCGGAGTCTATATAGAAGTTTTAATTTAAAAAATGATCAAGTTTTTTCTATTACAAGAATCAATTTTTGTGTTTAATATATGATTAGTACATGATATGGTTATATATTTCATGTGTCTTATTTATTACCTTTATTAAGTTACAAATTTCTAAAAAAAAATTTTTTGGCAACTGTTATGATCATGGATTACGGTTCTTCTATAGCTAGCAATTTATTTATTACAGTACCATGTTGCCGTCAGTAAGCGTGATTTCTGTCATATTAATCTTTTGCGATCGCATTTTCTTTTGTTTTTGGTTATATAAATCAACACTGTTTTCTTGTTTTACTCAAGGTTGCTAACTAATCTGGGAAGAGCATCAAGTTTTATTTTTTATCAGCTTCAAAACATTTGTTGTTTGATGTCTGTGTTTTGTTTAGTCAATGGGAGCAGGGGAGATATTATGGTTTTGATAAATATCAAGCTCGATATAACCTTATAGTTTTTCAATGCTTTACTTTTGAAAAATAGATTACTTTTAAACAAAGTTTTTTTAAAATAAGGTGCTATTTATTTTATTCTAATGTAAAATTTGTTAAAAATATTGAGTAGCAACCCAGTTATCTCTTTTCATAAAAACGTTATTTTATTTATTTTTTTGTATAATAATGTTTTTTTATTAAAAAGCAATATAGAGAAATGGTTTCTACTAACGAGGTAAGAAGAACTCAGTTGTTAAAAATGGATTGGAAATTAAGTACGACTATTTCCTCCAATCATTGTAAGAATCTTGATACGCCTTTTGTCACTTTGATTTTTACGCTTCAAGATGCAAATGAGAAAATCTTTAATCGAAGCGTTATAATGGACATTCAACAATTTCAGGTAGAAATGTGTAAAATTTTGCATAATCTTTTTACAGTGGTTTTTATTTTTAAATTTTTTTTTATTTTCTCTTGGTGTTTTTTTTTCAGGAATACTCTAAACAATTACGTGAGGTCCGTGATGTGTTAGGAACATCTTCTTAAAAACTTCATTTTCCAATTGTAAATTTTAGTGATCAAATGTTTGAAGTTAATGTCTTATTGCTCCTAAAAAAACCTATGGAAGATATTCTGTAAAATTACTGCATTTATTATTACTAAATTTATAATACTAAATTTATATATAATATTTATTTTATCATCAATCGTCGTAAAGTTCAATGAAAGTAAATTGTGTCATTTGAATCATTATTTAAAATTAATGCACTTCTAATTAATTTCCCTCCGAAGTACAAACACTTCATTGTAGGTTCAAAAAGAATCAAGTTGAGCGCTTTACCGTCAACAGCGGATTTGAGACCTCTCAATTATTACTGTGTCCGAGCGAACTTTTGAATACTTAGTTACCAAGATAAACAAAGTTATTAAAATAACTTCAACTTTCCAGTTCCGAAAATAAACTTTGCATTTTTTTTGTTTTACAAAAAATTGTTTCTCTAAGCTACAGCCTTGTTTATAAAGATAAGTTTTTTTGGGTGTTCTTTGGATGTCCTACTTCAGTTATATGCACATGCGAACTCTAGATGCTTTCAAACATAAATAGTGAAGGTATTTTCTATTTTCAGCATTTTGTCTTATTTAAGTCGGAAAATTAGCATTAAAATTCCTCTTTAGCATATTAAAGTAAGGCAAAAGTTATCTGCATTCCTTTTTTAAAATAAAACTTTTTCTATCATTCTGGTGACATAAATACCATGCTCAATCGAAACAAATTGAATCTAGCAGCCTAATGAACAATCCGAATTATTTTTTGCTGATCTTGAATCGAATCTAATATTTAAAGATCTATGAAGACCATTTTATCAACGAAGTGCAGAAAATTTGCAACCAACTAGAGCTTTTTCCAGCGTTTGATAGAGATTTAAAAAATCATGAAGCGTCGTAAAGTTGACGCAGAAGACAACATAACTTTGAATTCTGAAAAATGGAATATGGAGAACAAGAGTGATATTCCAAAATATGATGGAGAAAAGTATTTAACTAGAATTAAATTAGACTTGAGAATAATAATATAAGCTATTAGTTTTATACACTTCGTTTTTTAATTGTAAATTTGGGGGATAAAAAAATGTGTGTGTGTGTGTGTATATATTTTGGTAGAAAACGTATGAGTACATCACGAAAAGACAGATTTAAAAATATTGTTAAAAGTGAACCCCCCGCAACAACTGCAAAATTATCTCACAACTTGCTATGTAAGGGCGTATTATTATAAATTTAAGAACAATTGGGAAAAGATTGTGTTATGACTTTGGTTTAGTTGCAAGAAAATAAGCTAAAAAATCTATATTAACTCCACAAACTCGCACAAATCCAATTTTGGATTAAACTTTGTACGAGAAAAAATAAGTGAAACTGCATATGGAAATTACAAAAAGCAGCATTTTTTAACAAGATTTACTATGTATATTATGTCACATTGCTAAAATAGTTAAGTGCTTTGTTAATATTAATAATAAAAAAAGTTCACCCGACCTAAATATTATCAAGAACTGCTAGAATATTATGAAGCAAAAATTTGCAGCACATCAGCCAAAATTTAAAAAACGTTTCCAAAAACTTTATCACGCCTAAGTTAGTTGTAGCTTTAGATTGATGTCAATTAAGCATAAATAATTCTGTCTATTTACTTTATGCTCAAGTAAAAACACTAGATCATAGCTGTAGTGATTTCCTGATAAATAAATCGTCCATTCACCGCATTTGCGCACAGAAAAGAAAAGATTATATAAAAGAAAATATATATATATATATATATATATATATATATATATATATATATATATATATATATATATATATATATATATATATATATATATATATATATATATATATATAATGAAAATATTTAAGCTTCTTTAAATATTTTAAGACTCGAGACCCTTAAACATCGGGCGGGTTCTAATATTATTGAAAAAAACATCTTCAAAAGTATGTCAACCTGGTGCTCAAAAGAAGCAAAATCAAATCTCTTCTAATTTGACTCTTGAATCTTATGGTCATACTCTTCTGTTTTCATTCCAGTTAAGCAGGTTAAACTTTGTTGAACGCCGTTGACACTTCAGGTTTAGTTGTCATATCTCAATTAAACTCTTCTACGGCTTGTGGTCCAGACAACATTCCTATCATGGTTCTCAAGAACTCTCTTTAATTTTTACTAAAATATATATTAAGTGCTTGACTGAGTTTTTCCTGCCTGATTAAAAAAGATATTCGGGTTCCAGTTTTTAAAAAAATGTTGCACAGCTGACTTGCTAACTGGTTTAACTAAAATATTCCATCGTTCATTAGATGGAGGCATCGAGGTAAGAACTATTGCTCTTGACATATCATAAAAGTTTAATATGCTCTTTTTCTCCATAAGCTTACTTTGGATAGTTTATTGGAGAAAATTTCGACATTTTTTTCTAATCGCAGTATTAAAGTCATCCTAGAAAAAAGAACATCCTTCTTCAATTTTCTTCAACACTCTTCTTCTATTTTCTTCAACATTTTTCTTCAATTTTCATCAAAATTCTTCTTTAATTTAACAACTTTTGTGGCACCGCAGAGTTCTGCATTGTTTCTTATCTAAATTTTCGATTTTACTGACAATCTTCTAAAGTGACTCTATATAGTGACGACTCAACTTAAGCTTTCAGAGTTCTAATTTCGTTTCTACATTGTTTCATATCTAAATTTATAATTTTACTGACAGTCCTCTAAAGTGACTCTATATAGTGACGACTCGACTTTATACTTCTATTTTATTTTTTTGATCGCTTAGAACAGGCAGCCGATCTTGAATTTGATCTCACTTCTGTAACAGATTGGGGACCCCATTTTTTTTTGTTGACGTAATTAATGGACTAATTAACCCCTAATAGGCTGTTCACACGAGGGTACATTTGATGGAACATTCCGTGGAACATGGAACATGAACAAATATCCTCTCGTGTGAACGCAAATGGAACGAACATTTGAGGAACTTTTGTACCGTCCCGCCAACCCAGAACAAATAAATGTTCCGGAACATTTATTTGGTTTTGTATAAAAAATGGTGCCTATTTTCAACTATTTTTAAAATAAGCGTATGCATATAAGCTAAATGATTCAATAAAAATGCATTGCAAGATGCAAATTTGTTGTGAAAGTAACTCAAACTATTTTTTTTACAAAGTTGTTGTCATCTTAACCAGAGTTTTTAGTCCTTGATCTCTGCATGTCCTTGGTCTTGGTCATATATCAAGACAAGATTATCGATATACTATTTGCCTTTCAACATGTTGCCTTTCAACATTTTGCCTTCCATCTTTTTTTATTGAGTTCAAAACATTTCTTCGAATATAATTATATATTTTTATTCATTGAGTAAAAACTTGTGGTAATTTCATGCAACCAAGAAAATTCCGATCCCATTCGTGTGGGATCAATCATGAGTAGACCAGATGGTGGGCATTTATTTAAAAAACAATTATTTGACCATCACAAATTTCACAAAGTTATTTTTAACGATATTTAAAATTTGTATAAATAGAATAGAAATTTAATTATTAGTGTATTATTAATTTAAAAAGAAGTTATATATGTGTGTTTAAAAACTTAATCTTAAAATATAACATTACAAAGACAGTATTATTCTTATAAGATCAGTTTTAATTTGAATTGACAAGAAGTATAATTCAAGTTAACATTTAACATGCGTTAAGAAAGTTTAATTTTCATTGTTTAATAGTTTTTATTTAATTATATACTTTGCAAGCATTGCTGTTAATGCATTTTTAATAAACTTATAGTAATTTTATTTATAAAATTCAACTTTGAACTAATAAGCAGAGTTGTTTATCATTGGCCTTGCCAACAGTGATAATAATAATAGTTATTATTATTATTATTATTATAATTATAATAATAGAATAATAATAGTAATAACAATGATAACAATAACAACAATAACAATTATTAATATTATTATCATTATTATCATCATTGTTATTATTATTTATGTTAATATTATTAATGATATTATTATTGGTATATATTGTTATATATGAGCTTTGTCATATATTTTATTTATATGTCATATATATGTTATTGTATTAGCTTTGTCTTATCTTGTTATTTTAATTTGTGAACATTATCATTAGTATTTTCCTCATAAATAATCTGTATTTACTTAATATTAGTTAATTTACTGTTTGTGAATAACTGTGAAAGTAAGACCTTTATTCAGAATATACATTATTGATTGACTGTATTGATATGACTGTACCTTATATCTTTGCCACAATGTACTACAATTATTGACATTTAAAAATAAAAATAAACAATAGTGTTGAAAGATCGATGTTATTAAATAACATAATTATCACATTGCATGGAAAAGTAAAAAAAAGTAAAAGTAGCATCTGAAAGTTTCTGTTCTCTTGGCTACCAGTTTTTGGCAATTAATTAAACTATTTAGTAAGCCCATAACATTATTAAGTTATTTTAAGCCCATAACATTTATAGCAATTATGAAGTTTAACCTTTAATTTTTTAACTATTTCTTTTCTTTTTGTTGTTGTTGTTGTTATTGTTGCAAGATTCAATGTACTTATCCTTTTTAGTAGGTAAAACTTTAATTTTACACAATGTCTCAGCATTCAGAAAAATAGTGTATTGACGCTAACACAACAAATATTGGTCTTTGCACAACTCCTTTAAATAAATTTTTATAGAATATGGCTAACACAAGAGTATTATTAGATTTATGGAAAGATAATTACAAAGCATTAACATTTGTAAGAAGAAACACAAATATTTACAAACAAATGGCAGCTGAATTTTCAAACACATTTAATATCGTACCTCCGTTAACTGGTTATCAAATTCAATCTAAAATTAGTAATTTGAGGAAGCAATTTAGGTATGTACATATTCTACATTTAATGTTTGATACCTTATTGATACCTTACTTGATACCTTACTGATACCTTACTGATACCTTACTTGATACCTTACTGATACCTTACTTGATACCTTACTGATACCTTACTTGATACCTTACTTGATACCTTACTTGATACCTTACTGATACCTTACTTGATACCTTACTGATACCTTACTTGATACCTTACTGACACCTTACTTGATACCTTACTAAGTATTTTACAAAACTAACCATGTGTAATAATATCTAATTGCAATTTAGTTTGTAACTGAGTGTTATATTAAAAATTACTTAAATCTTATTCAGTATTGAAGATTTACAGCTCGTTGATAATTATTTTGTTAATAATTTGTTATTTTATTATTCGTTAATAATTCGTTAATTTTGTTAACAATTATTTCGTTAATAATAATTTGTCCATTAAAGTTATTTGATTGATCTTATACGGTGTTAATGATGTGCTTATATTTACTTATATTTATGTATATTTTTCATAGACGAGAAAAACTTCAAGTTGGTTTATCGGGAGGAGCTCCTAGTAAATGGTGGTTTTACGATATTGTTGCCAAAATAATAGGTGGTGAAGCTTCCCTTGACAATGATCTTTTATCTCAAAGTCAAAACTTTTCTACTCAAGATTTTCAAGATGGTCAGGTAAGTTTAGTATAATTTATTGTTGTATATTTTAAAGTAATATAAACAAGCATGTTGACTATTTCTACAAAATAAAGTTTAAGAGGCTCTTAGTTTTGCAACATTTGGCAGACTTAAAACATAAAGATCAAAAACATATAATATAAAGTTTTTGAATTATAAAAGGAATCTTTTAATATTGGCTAGATCAATTTGTAAAATGCTATTGTCTAAATAGATCCTTTTTGAAAGTCAAGTCTTTCAAAGTCAAGAGATAAATTTTGATTGAAACATGATTTATAATCATTTCTCAAATGTGTAATTTTTTAAATTTGTATATTTTATTTACAGATTGCCACAATGGAAGATGGCAAGGAGACTGTCAGTATTTTAAATATTGAAGCTTTGGATGATACAAGTGATGTGCAATCAATTGTCACTATTCCTGATGAGGAACTAACTCAATCTACATCCAGCTGCAATAAACGAAGGAACTCTGATGATAAAAAAACTTTGAATAAAATAGCAAAAACTGAACCGGTGAGAAAAAATAAAAAAACAAATTTTACTTCTGAATACTTAAAAATAGCAAATAAAAGTCTAGATGTTCAAATCCGTTCACAAGAGCTACGAATCAGAGAGGTTGTTGCTTTAAAGCGTATTTGCGATGCAATTGAAAATGCATCTAAAGCCCAAGTAGATGTGTCTAAAGCCCAAGTAGAATATTATAAACTTTTAACAAAAAAATAAGGTGTTCTATTAGTCAAGATATCTTTTTAGTAATTATGTTAAAGTTGAAAGGTCAGCATTTTTTCAACAGTATACCTTGTTTACAATTCTATGCAATATATATTTCATAAGGTTTTTCAATGTTTTAACTAAAGAGATGGTTAGTGAAATATTGTACAAGCTTGTAGATGAAGCTCTATTTATATATTTTTTTTTCATGTTACCATATTACTATTATCAAAGGAATTTTTACTTTATGTAAAATAAAAATATTTTGTGATTTCAAGCATCAAAATGCATATCTGGTGGTATTTTCTAAATTTGTCATGTTATTTTATAAATACCTTTTTTTTGTATCTCTATGCTATATATATTTAGTATTTTTACCAAATAATTTTTTTTTGCGATATGAAGCAAGTCTGTAGATGAATTATAGTGATATGTTTTTTGCCAACGTGTTTTGTTTTTAATTTTTACTAATTGTATTACATGTTTCATTTTTGTTTTTGTTAACAGATCATGCTGTATCAATTCTAACAAAACGGTTTTTAAAAATGTGTTTTAATTTCCCTTGAATTGTAATATAATAAGTATTACATTTATTTAATATATTTATATAGTTTTAATAGCTTTTTAGGGAGACATCTGTAAAGGAAAAAGCTATTGGAAAAACATGGAAAGCATTTTGGCCGTACTTCTATCAAGAAGTAGAACATTAATTAATGATGAATCAATCACCCATTTTCATATTTAGATTTAGTATCGTGTTGTGTCTAGCCTTTTTGGCATAGGAAAGTCAACAGCAAATTTAATTGCTCATGAATTTATTAATGCTGTTAATGACATTTTGCTCCCAATATATGTTAAATTTCCATTGTCAGTGGAAAACTTAAATAAACATAGTAAAGATTTCGAAGCTATTCTTGGTTTTTCACAATGCGTTGGAGCTGTTGATGGATGCCACATCCCTATTTTAGCCCCTAAAGATCAAGCAATTTCTTATTATAATTATAAAGGGTGGTATTCCATTGTACTTTTTTCCGTTGTAGACTGTCGATACCGTTTCATTTATACAAGTGTTGGATCGCCTAGTAGAAATAATGACAGCTATATTTTGCAGAATTCTTCTTTGAAAGCAATTTTAGAATCAAGTCTATTTGATATATGTTGTAAAGAGCTTGGCGATTCTCTTGTTCCGCTATGTTTGATAGGTGATTCAGCATTTCCTTTAACGCCTCATTTGTTAAAACCTTGTCCTGAAAATTTGGAGCTTAGTGAAATTCAAAAAAATTTCAATAAAATACTTTGCGGAGCTAGAAGAGTAGTTGAGAATGCTTTTGGGCGCGTTAAAGCTCGATTCCGAGTAATTTGCAAACGTATGGAATGCGATATTAACTTTGCTACAAGAATTGTTAATGCTTGCGTCACTCTTCACAACATTTGTGAATACTATGACGATATTATTATAATAGAATGGCTTATGCATCATCATGATGACAGTCTAGCTCAACCCAATACAGTTTCTACAATTGGGAACAATTGACCAGAAAAAAATGTTCGTGACTCAATTGCTAAATACCTTTATGAAAGGGACAAGTAAAGTAGTAATAATACTATTTATTATTTAAAGCTTTAGCTGTAATATGGTTATGTATTTACTTACTTTCCTTGAGGTTATCAAATGTGTCTAAATAAATAAATATTAAATATGTATGAACACAAAATGAGATTAGTTTTAACTTGTCGTGGGTAACATATTAATGTATAATATGTTTATTCGGTACTATACCACTGATGGACTACTATTCTGTGTCGTCAAAAGCGACTAAAGGAGATATGACCTATCCATAAAAGCCAAAAAACGGGATAACAAAATTCCAACGTAACCTTTTGTATGGCGGGTATTTAGGGTTGGGTTTCTATTGTCTAACTCTGAGCTAGCTAAACCCTCAGTGTTATTTGTATTTAGTTTTACCTCTCATAAATGTTTAAATATTAAAAATTAATAAATTATATTAACAAAGTGTAATTGCCAAACTGTTAGTCACTAATTTTTATTCGAGTTTTACCTACCGTTTTTTTACGCGTTTTTTCTTTTATGTACCGTCAAGCCAATTTTACATGTGAACGCTACAAGTAACATTTTGTGGAACATTTTGTTCCAGAAACATTTGTTCCGGAATAATGTTCCGCCAAACATCGCTAGTGTGAACATGGTATAAGCGGTAAAAATGTAAAATGTCTTAAAAAATATAAATTAGCGATATAATCGTCTGAATATTATATGCCAGAGATATTAAATATCTTTTTTTTTTTTTTTTTTTTAAATTAAACTCAACTAAACCTGTGAACTGTTGTGCGATTGTCGGCTCGAATTTGAATTTCTAAATGATACTTTTGAAAAAAAACTAATTCATCTTTAATATGAGAAAAAGACAAAACCTTCTAAATCCATATTGATTCTAGTCGGAACTAGAATCGATATGGATTTAGAACTAGTCGGAACTGATACAAAGATACAAATTTTCTGATCTACTGAAAGTGAGTAGATCTGAAAATTTGTATCTTGGTTTGAAAATATAAAAATTTAAATTTATGTTTAAAAATTGTACAAATACGACTTGACTACCCGAGCTATATTTGTTTATTATTACTTTTTTGTCGTTGCTTGTGTTCTATGTTTTAATGTTTTTATCATCTGCGTCGTCATTTTTCATTTAAAGTTTTAAAGTATTTGTGCAGCAAAAAAAAAAAATCCTTGTTATAAATAGTAACAATAGAAATAAGTTGTTTATTATGGTTCGTATCAGTGTTGATTTACTATTAAAGTATGCCAGCCACACAAAAAGACGATCAAACGAATCAGATCAACAATACTTGAAAAGATTAACTCACATTTACTTTCAAGAAAAAAATATTGACGAAATT